GAAGCAGAGAGAGGTGAGGGCGGGGCCAGGACCAGAAGTGGTGCTCCTGGAGCCCAAGAAAGGGACTGAGTTTCTCTGGGTGGGAAGGGTCAAGAAGCAGTATTGGTTCCCCAGGTGTCTGGGGCCCCGAGACTAGGAATGGCGCAGGGCCCAAACTAGGAGTATAGAACGGCGAGGTGGGGATGGAAGGGTGAATGTCGCTTAGGGAGTCCCGGCACGGAGAGCTGCGCTATAGACTTACCCCAAGAGGCCTGAGGATAGTAGTGATCTTTATTTTTTTTAAACAATTGTGTACTTAAAAGTTCTTTCTTCAAAATCTCAGTGGTATTATTTTCTGAACAATAATCACTGCTTTTCCAGAAGGAATTATTTGGCCATATTTTAAGTTAATGCATTTGTGTTCTTTTTCTTCATTCATTCTCCAAAGCTCCTTCAAAAATTTAATTCTTCTTAAATACATCATTCATTATGAGTACTTCTGTATTCCTGTAAAATAGTAGCAACAGGATTTTCAGAGAGAAAGAGAGAGGTGGAAATATTTGGAGACTGATGGGGAAAAAGCTGAAGAAGTGTTTCAATAGAACTTGACTGGAGCAAGCAGAAGTTCCAAGGAGAAATTGTCTCTGGGTTACATATATTTAAATTTACAACTTTAAGCCATTATAGACTGAGAGAAAGAAATGCTTTCTGTTGGAGCACATATACGAATGCTCTTTTTGCATTATTTAGACAAAGCTTCTCTTTCGGTGGGTTAGAAACATTGCTAATCCCAGACTATGTTATAGTCAACCAGCTAAATGATGATGAACTCAACAAAGCCACACAGATGTGTGATAAGGGAGAAATGAAGAGCTATGCAGGCCACTGAGTACAACCGTTAGGGAGAAGTTCTCACCAATGAGGAATTGATCAAAAAGGAAGCAGAGTGAATTAAACATTGTGTATTGAACACATACATCTGTAAACACATTTCTTGAAAACTCTGTCAGTTAAGGATTTTAAAATGGTATAAACACATAAGCACCAAGGAAAGCAGTTAAGGATACAGTGGATGACACATGTCAATGAAACTTTTGAATATAGAATTTAGGTGAAAATCAGTAGAATTGTCAGCCTACTCAAACTTTCAGTAGAAATGGAAATATTTTAGTCATGGGAAGCTTCAAGAATAGGAATGTATTCATAAAAATGGGTGTCTTTGTAGTTCAAATTCGGAAGATGGTTTCAAAGCTTCTGTTATAAACTTCAAAAAAATTATGTTGTCTATCATGTTCAGACAGGAACCACTTGTGAATAGTCTAAACCTTCCTCACTGAAGAAGTTGAGACAAAGACTATGCATAGATCCGTCTGAAGATAAACTGACAGAATGTAAGAAGATTCAAACAGACTACTTGTGTGGCCACCACATCATTTAAGACATCACAATATTGGTCTGTGTGTTGAACTTGCTTCTAGATTGTGCTACCATCTCAAAATTAGAGCAACTTTTTCAGAACTAAAATCTCAGGAGAAAAGAGCTACATAACACCGAGGTCTCTGATTTTACTCTATGAAAAAAATATTATTTCCCAAAATATAAAATGATCTTTTGAGGAAAAAGTAAGGCATAAGAACTGTGGAAAGTATGGAGAGAGAAAAATCGAGACGAATGTGACAAGTTTCTCATGGACAAAAATATAAAGTAGTACTATGATGAGACATTCAGGCTGTTTTCTTGCAGATACCATGCAATTACTGGAGCAGGTGTGTGTGCACATTACTTAAAATCGATCTCTGGGTTTATAGATTGTAATGTAATAAATGTTGATAGTTATAGTTTGTACTATGGCACATGAACAATGAATTATTATGTATCTGAATACTAATTTTTTATTCAAATAGAAAACTGGGGATAGCAATAATTAGTATCTAGCTTCAAAGAAAGTTCTTTGCCACTGTAAGAAAACATGGGGTACACAATAAAAAAACAACAACAGAAACGCTTGATTTGGGCATAAATGAATTCAAGTAATAATGTTATTTTTTTTCCATTTGCCCCCATTCTCTCTATTATTCATTGCAACTCAAAATTGATTCTGTTCAATTTCAGAGTGTCAAGATGTTTATGAATCACTCTTAGGTGATAGACAGTTATTGCACCACTGATAGCTACTTCAAAGATATTCATATGTATAATTTTTAAAAATATGGAATGCTTCACAAATTTGCATGTCGTCCTTGCATAGGGGCCATGCTAATCTTCACTGTATCGTTCCTTAGTATATGAAGTGAGCAGCATGATACTTATATTTTTGAGCCTCACAATATATAAGCCATTTCTAATTCTCAGTATATAATTTGCAGTCATATCAAACAATAGGAATAATTTATCTGTAATCCCAATTCTCAAACACGTTTTTCCTTTTTACTGAATTATTGCAAATTTCTGCTACTTCTTCCACAATGATTCCTGTCTCCTCAAACACTTTTATTTATTTAATATTTATTTATTTATTTGTTTATTTTAATTTTATGTGTATGAGTACTTTACCTGCATCTATGTAAGTCCACCCATAGTGTGCAATGCCCACAGAAGCAGAAGAGGGTGTCAGATACCCTGGAACTGGAATTTCAGATGGTTGTTAGCTGCCAAGTGGGTGCTGAGATTCAAACACACATTTTCTGCATGCTGAGCCATGTCTCCAGCTCTGCTCACTTTTGATAGCTGTTGGCATTCATGTCGTTCTCATGATACGTGTGGACTCACACACTATGAACTCTAGACTTGAAAGAATTTATCCTATGCTGAGAAATTTGACCACTCCCACTATCTTTGGTTACATTGCTTGCTGTGCAGCAATATTCTGTGCATGAAGAAATGCTTCAATGCTGGATGATATTGTTATCATTTGAGAATATTTTAAGAATTGAGTAGGAATGTTAATTTTAGTTAAATGCCAAACTTCTGCTATACTGCACTTGCAAAACAAGTGAGTTGACAAAAACGTGAACAGGTAAGGTCTGTTTGGCGGTTTGTCCCTGGGTTTCTAGAAAAAGTACTGGTAGCACTCGACCTCTGAATCAAATCGTCATCTGGCATATTTTTCCTGATAATGATTATAAGTCACATGCAAATATCAGAATCTGTAATTTGGAAGGAAAATGACATCATTATCAGTACTTGAAGGTTAAAAAGGGGAAATGAACATAGTCTCATATAACCCAGTAATAACTTCTCTGTCAATTCAAGAAAACCTATACAGAAATTGTGTAAACTCCAGTGGAAGATGACACTGACTTTGCAGCTGCACTTACACTGTTGCAAAGAAAGTGTAATGAGCTGCCTGTATTAGGAATATTGAGGGAAATCGTGTCTGTTATAGATTGCAACAGAGAAGTTTCTGAAAGACCAAATTACACCTTCGAATTTCCATGAAGTGGCCTCAGGTTTAAAACTCCTCATTGTCTGGAGATCAACTATTTTCCCCCTTAGTTTTATCTTAGTAACACAAGCACTTTCCTTATAGCTGCATCTGAGAGTAAACCCAAAACTCTCCAAAGTGTTAAAACATAGACTTTCTGCTTCAATAAGAGCATATCATAATATATAACAGAGGATGTACTATTACAGTCACATCACCTAAACGCTTTTACTCTTTTTTATTTTTATTGTAATGCATTAGTTTCTTTTCTGTTGCTGTGATAAAATACCATTACCAAAAGCAGCTTAAGGAAGAAATGCTTTATTTAGCTTATGGCTATAGAAGAGACGTTTTCATGGTGGGGAAGAATGGAATGGTGGCAAGAGCAGAAAATTTGCTGATAACATTTCCTGTCTGCACACAGGAAGCAGAGAGCAAGAACAGGATGTGAGATTATAAACACCCACATGGCAGCTGCAAACCACCCTTGACTTCAGTTCCAGGGGAATATGAAGCCCTCTTCTGATTTCTGAAGCATTGAACAACACGGGTGCACTAATGTACATGCAGGCAATACACTCATATGCATAAAATAAAAATAA